ATATCTATGATGTGTTTCTGTTTTTTAATTCAGGAGATTATAAGAAAATCCTTCATTTTATGAAAAGACCCTCTTGATTCAAGAGAAAACTCCGATTTTTAAGAAAATGTTCCTTATCAGTTAATTGTTAGTCAATCTATAAGATAAACTTCAGATTAATTCTTTAATAAATAACTTGCATTCTTAATTTATACAGGAATGAAATTAATTTATATCTAGTCATATCCATGTAACTAAGCGTTTTAATGATTTGGCCGATTAATCGAAAAAATAATCGTAAGATTAATCGATTATTAAAATAGTAGTTAATTGCAGCCCTAGTCTCATATTTAAAGTCTCTGAAGCCAACAAGAGCCTGGCCCTCCTGGCCTGGCTGACGGGATTTTGCCTGTGCCTCCTCAAAGGCCCAGTGGAACCTGACTGCCTCCATGAAGTCCAGATAAGACGAGGTGTAGCACAGGAGGGCGTCCTACAAGAGAACATGAAAATAATAAATGAATAAAAACAATGACTGGGTGTAACAGACTAATAATACACAAAATGCTACCTTGTTGGCCATGAGAGCAGACTGAGACCCTGTCTTCCACTGCTCCTTCAKGTCGTTCTCCAGCCGCCAGTGGAAGGTCATCTCCTGGTACCTCCCAAACTGCWGGGCCGACAGGCTGAGGATGAGGGTGGGGTTGGAGACGTCCCCACTGTCTCGAATGACGTGGGCTCGAGCCTCTGCCTCCACCTCCTCTGCTGGCTTAGCCCTGTAACCTTATGGGCTCCCATTGTTGGTCCTCCTGAATGTTGGGTGTTCAGTCTAAAAACATTGTAGTACAGCAGATAACTGTAAAAATCTTTCAAATCTGGAAACAAGCACCAAAATTTGCATGTTTATCCTTCTTGGACCACTTATTGGAAAAAAAAAAAACATTAGCCACTTAAAATTTCAAAATGGACACCATTTTCCAAGATGGCCACCATTCCTGGCATAAGAAACACATATTTTACCACAGAATTAGACTTCCTGGATGGATTTGAATGACTTTGATATTGTATCCTATGTTTCTGACTATGGGGAA